CAACTCAACTTAGAAAGGGCGAAGGAAGAATACAAGAGGCAGGCAGACAAGAACCGAAGGGAAGGTGAAACCATAAGGGTTGGAGATAGGGTGTGGCTGTCAACCCGAGGGTTGCCGTTCAAAGGAGGTTGTAAGAAATTACGACCCAGGAGGTTGGGTCCCTTTGAGGTCATTCAACAGGTCAACCCAGTGGCTTTCAGGCTCCGGTTACCCAACCACATGAAACTGCACCCAGTATTTCACAGGTCGTTACTGTCACCGTACGAGGGGACGAGAAGGGATGGCCACTCGGGGACCGGTCATAGAAGAAAGAGAATGCAGCAGTCATGTGGCAGAAATCCTTGATGCCAGGTGGAAGGGGAATCAGGTGGAGTATTTGGTAGCGTGGGAAGGAGAACCGGAGTCAGAAAACACGTGGGTAATGGCCAAAGATATCAATGACGAGGTATTGATAGAAATGTTCCATCAAAGGTTCCCGCGGAAACCTCAGCCTGTGGAGAGGTTCCGGAGGGAATACTTTGGGACCACTGAGGAGGAGGAGGAGTTGGAAGGATTCCCAGAATCGGAAGGGGAAGGGAGATGGACTCGGAGGAGGAGGAGTGCTTCGAGACCAGGAACCGCAACAGGTGGAGAGAAGTGTTCGAGACATCGGAAGATGAAGGAAGTTCATTCCGGGGTTTTGCCTCCTCACCGCCCGTAGAGGAGGGGCGAGAGGGGGTGAAGGGGGCCCTGGAGGGAGGTGGATGTCAGGGAACTGCCATCGGAAGGAAGGGAGGTGAAAGGACTCAGACAGGTTGGAAGAGATTCAGCAGCTGAAGAGGGAACCAGCAAGGGAGAGAATCTGAACTGAGGGAGGTGAAAGGGCTAAGACAGGTTGGAAGAGACTCAGCAGCGGAAGAGGAAACCAGCAGGGTGAGAGAAGCTGAACTGAGGGAAAGGGAGCTGTGGGGATGGCTCAGAGATACTTCCAGCGAAAACAGTGGTGAGGTTTCCGGACCTCCTGTAGCGACACCCACTCCTCGCCGGAAACTGTCACGCAGAGAGTCCAGAAGACGTGTTTCCGTTAAGGAGCTTTTATGTTGGAAGCGATTACGAAAGCAACCACTGTCGGAATCTTCTAGTGACTAGAGGAGCCATGTCAGAGGGGCTCAGTCACAGACAGAGGTTTGTGGACTTGAACAAACTCTGAGGGAATACGATTTTACGCACAAGCAGCTCATAATCCCATCACAATATATATATATATATGCGCATTAGAATCTGAAAAGAATGGCTACCTTATGCAGTGACAGATGTTATTAGGTGTTTGAATAAACTAATATAATATTCAATGGGAAGGAGAAATCAATATTCGAATAATGTGAAGTGGCAACTTTAAAAAGCGGTGATTATAAATAAACCTTACACAAATAAATGGCTACCTTTTTCATTCAAGATTTGTGGAAAATCTATATTTCAAACTGTATAAATATTATGCAGCTTGAAAAGAGTAAAGGTGACCTATAATTTTTTAATATTTGTGTGACCTGTATCAGATACTTTGAAGTCAACTGCTTAGGCAGCCTAGAGATTAATCTATCAAATATGCTATTCTAACTATTTAATTTTAAAATATCCCTTTAAAAAATAACCGCCACCTTCTGCTGGCATACATAGCATAAATCAGTATGATGCTTCTCCTAGAACCTCTCATCATAAGGAAAGATTTAGTGCTGAGTCAACCTGCTCCTTTAATAAATGATGAAATTAGAAATGTTAGACTTATGTCTCATGTCATGATGCCAAAAGGTAAAAGATATGGCAACAGAAGCGTGTAAATTTGAGGAAATAGAGTAGCCAGCAATATCAACAAGGTGACAAAATGGAATTTTGAATGGAAAAGCCAGATCGAAATGGCTTTTTCCAACCATGTTAGCCTGCGCTACTTACTTTATCTGAAAGGAATTCATTATCTATTATTATTATTATTATTATTATTATTAGAATTTATATACTGCCCTATACCCGGAGGTCTCAGGGCTGTTCACAAAAAAGATCACAATATATAAAATCTAAATAAAAACAATAACCCAATAACACCCCCAAAAGAGCCACATTTTAAAAGGGTATAGCATGTCAATCAGGTCAACCAAAGGCCTGGTTAAAAGGAATGTTTTTGCCTGGTGCCTAAAGGTGTATAATGGGTGACAGAATGTGGCTCTCCTAGTCTCTCTCTGGGTGGAGGTGATGAGCGTCCAAGTCCAACAGCATGTCGAGAGCAGGTGTGGAGGACTCCTTGGTCCTGAATAGGGTAACTGTGCCCCCTGAAGGACCGGGTGTGCAGCCTGGGAGTCATTCTGGACTCACAGCTGTCCATGGAGGCACAGGTCAATTCTGTGTCCAGGGCAGCTGTTTATCAGCTCCATCTGGTACACAGGCTGAGACCCTACCTGCCCGCAGACTGTCTTGCCAGAGTGGAGCATGCTCTAGTTATCTCTCGCTTGAACTACTGCAATGTGCTCTGTGTGTGGCTACCTTTGAAGGTGACCTGGAAACTACAACTAATCCAGAATGTGGCAGCTAGACTGGTGACTGGGAGAGGCCACCGAGATCACATAACACCGGTCTTGAAAGACCTGCACTAGCTCCCAGTACATTTCCAAGCACAATTCAAAGTGTTGGTGCTGACCTTTAAAGCCCTAAACGGCCTTGGTCCAGTATACCTGAAGGGGAGTCTCCACCCCCATTGTTCTGCCTGGACACTGAGTTCCAGTGCCGAGGGCCTTTTGGCGGTTCCCTCGCTGTGAGAAGCCAAGTTACAGGGAACCAGGCAGAGGGCCTTCTCGGTAGTGGCACCCGCCCTGTGGAAACCCTTCCATCAGATGTCAAAGAGCAAAACAACTACCAGACTTTTAGAAGACATCTGAAGGCAGCCCTATTTAGGGAAGCTTTTAATGTTTAATAGATTATTGTATTTTGATATTCTGTTGGAAGCCGCCCAGAGTGGCTGGGGAAACCCTGCCAGATGGGCAGGGTATAAATAATAAATTATTATTATTATTATATTATTATTATTATCCCATCATGGGGAAGGGTCAAAATGTAACTTCTTAATGACATAATTCCAGCGCATCTGCTTTCTTTTGTTTTGGAGTCAGTATGCAAATATTTTAGCTTTGGGCAAGTTATACGGTGCATCAATCCAAGCACATTTTGCATTAAGGATGTTTGAAATATTGTCCTGAATACGGGGGATTTCTAGATGCCGGTTTAGCGTTGCTGGAAGCCGTGAGGAAAGGAAAGCAAATACCAGAGTCGCTAAAAGTAAAAAAGAAAGCACATTTATGAAAGCCCTTAGTCTATCAGCTTCAAGGTTAACATTATGCTGCTCAAAACAAAATGCTGGCAGGAGCTGAACATGTGATATAAGCCAACATATGGCAGAAATCAACAAAACCAATGCCAGATAGGAAAGCATATTAAAGCCACAGGTTATCAAATAAGTGCAGATACTGCAAATATCAAACACCAGTGGAACACTGAGGAATGGATGTGAGAAGGAAGTTTTGACTGTATATGTTTGGAGATAAAGTCCATGGAACAAAACAATATTTAGAGAGTTCTCTCTTTGCCTTGGAGGTATACATCAAAGCCCAGACAGGCGGCAAGAGAACCTCATGGAACCAAAGTCATATTTATTTCACTAATATATTTATTTTGCTGGAGTGTGTCCTAGAATAAGTTTGGCTCAAGCCTTGTTGGAAACTTTTATACCTATACTACTCAGACCCAAAGGAGGGGGACTTTAAATGTGAAAATGAAAACAAAAGCAGAAACTATCCAAGACATTTAGCTGGTGCTGGAAGAAAATCCTCCCATGAAATCTCCAAAGGAACAGGATAATCGGTCAGTTTCAGTTTCTCGGTTTCTTGCTTTCCCAGTTTGCAACATTTCTGCAACATTTTGCCATTTTTTTAAAAAAACCTATGTAGTTTTTTTTCTATTCGTTTCTGCACATATTTCTCCCAATGTTCAGATTTGTGTAAACAATTTCACCTAATATACCTAGAGGCTTCCATGTATCTGAGAATGCAGTGTGATCAGGAATACAGGTTGTGAGGAAGACGTTGTGCTTCCTGCTATACTGTACATGCCAAAACTCATTTACAGTGAATCTTTAAGATGTCTGTGCTGTTGCCAAGGCGAGGCTCCTTGACCCCCTTCAGCTGCCTTGTTGCTCTATTTGAGAGATATAACACCTGGTTAGGAATCCTGTGAAACAGCATTTTGATCAATCTGGCCTGGTGGAATTGCCCGCTTGTTTGGTGAACCGGTCTCTTGACCTGAGATGCAACACCTGGGAAATCCTGTCCCGAATTTCTAGTCACCATGAGACTAGAACTAGATCATTTCATTCATCGCCTGCACAAGCAGGTGAATTCACGATGTGACTTCAAAGCGAAGAAAAAACAAATATTTCCACTCGGCCGTCTTGTTTATTACAAATGAACTATACATTCCTGAACTTTGGAGAGTGCTTTGACAAGTAATCACATTTTTGTGCACAGGCCTCCTGAAGCTCCTGTGATATAACAAGTCTGTGGGAAATACCTGATAAAGTGTGAGCGAAAAGTCCCGTACGAAGCCATCGATACACAAGAGAAAAGGTTTGATTATCAAAGAGATGGGAAAGAGATGTACAACGAGAGAGGAATAATTTGGATCCCAGAGGGAGACTTATGCTTTAACAGTTCTGATTGTTAAAAGTTACCATCAACTTTAATTACTTAATTAGACACACAGATTAGATGTATAAATTAGATAATCTCTTTCCTAAAGGGGATTTGCTCACCATGTCTTTCTCTAATTTTCTAACAGAGCTTCAGTTTTTCTGTACTGGCACTACTGTTGCGTGTTGAGTCCCACAACGCCACCCCCCAAAAAATTCACACTTCACACGTCAATTTTTGTTTAAGGTTTTTGGCATAATTTTGGCCACAACTTTATTCAAAGTACAAAATGTGAGTGGTTGCTTAGGCATTGGTTATGACTATCTGTCCTTGCCCCAGGGACAGAGCTGACTTCCGGATTCCAGCGGAAGCCAGCGTGGGAAACAAGTATTGGGTGAGAAAGTGAAGCTGGGCATCAGTCTCACACTTCTCACCCTCATGTTCCGGTGGGGCTTGCACGGCCCAAGTCCGATACCAGGGACAAGGACGAAAGAATGGCAAGCCCCTGGATTCCTTTAACGGAATTCCCATTTCCGCACCACCATTGGAGGGGTAGGCACTTACCCTCCACCAACCAAATTTAACCAATGCCTAACCGCCAACCTTACAAGTTGTGACGATTTGCTACGCAGTAGGCAAAAACCAAATGGCACCAGCCAATCAGCCAATTGGCAAAATTCCTACCAGGCCCCCGCACCAAGGCGGACGACCCCATGACAGGCATAGCAAGGTCAAGATCCAAACCCCCCCCCTTTAAAGGGAGGGTGGGCGGGTGAATCAGTGCAAAAAGGCCAAGAGGACGCCCAGCGTTGGACGCCCTGTATTTAAGGCCTCTGACCCCACCTCCAAATTGGCAACATTCAAAACTCCCCAGTAACCCGTTAACCACTTAAAGGCTTGGGTTCCTCACCAAATTTGCACAGTCACTGCAGGGTGGCATGTTCCCCCAACCGCAACACGTGCTCTCTTTTATGGAGAACACGCTTTGCGTGTTGAGTCCCACAACGCCACCCCCCAAAAAATTCACACTTCACACGTCAATTTTTGTTTAAGGTTTTTGGCATAATTTTGGCCACAACTTTATTCAAAGTACAAAATGTGAGTGGTTGCTTAGGCATTGGTTATGACTATCTGTCCTTGCCCCAGGGACAGAGCTGACTTCCGGATTCCAGCGGAAGCCAGCGTGGGAAACAAGTATTGGGTGAGAAAGTGAAGCTGGGCATCAGTCTCACACTTCTCACCCTCATGTTCCGGTGGGGCTTGCACGGCCCAAGTCCGATACCAGGGACAAGGACGAAAGAATGGCAAGCCCCTGGATTCCTTTAACGGAATTCCCATTTCCGCACCACCATTGGAGGGGTAGGCACTTACCCCTCCACCAACCAAATTTAACCAATGCCTAACCGCCATGGAGCCCTCAGCTCACCGCCAAACCACTCACAGGCCCAGCCAATCCCTTAGCTTAGCCACCACCGCACCTAGCCAAGCCTCGTTCCCTAAGGCCGAAAGGTGCACACCATCATCTCTGAAAAATGATTCATTCTGAGAAATAATCTCGGGATGTGAGATTACGTCACCACCCAACTCGAAAACCTTTTTTGCCACCGCAGAATTGACACGTTTTCTGGCCCTTTCGATGGCAGCCGGGCAACGACTCCCTCTCCACGCGCGTCGTTGCAAAAACTTTGACCAAAATATCTTTGCAGTCGGCAACATAGCCCGCAGCACATCGAGGTCGCCCAAAATTGCTGCACGTAACGAAAAACAGTCCATGGAAACCAGGTCGTTCTCACCCAGCTGCACCACAATGGCTGCAGGAGGCCCCTCCAACACCATCTGCCTCCGAATCAGCGGCAGGAACTCTGACCAGCGCATTCCCCGTCTGGACAGCCAAGCCAAGTGGACATGTGGAGGAAGGCCGAGACCTGGTCCCAATCCGGATTGCCGGGCTCCGATGCCAGCCCAATGCACGATACTGTGCCCCACCAACCAGATGCGAACAGTCGCTAAACCTGAGGTAAAAAGCAAAACAAACAACAAACCAGATGTAAGCATACCAAATTGTCAACGGACGTAACCTCTGAACGCATTTGATTTCCAACGACCCAATTCCTTTATTCTGTCGGCCGACAGGCCCCAATGCGCTGCAGTCGTAGCCGCCCCAATTCTAAAGGAATGGGGGGCAAAACCATAAGCCGAATCGCCACAAGCGATGATCGCCTTCCGCATCACCATTGTGAACTGGTGCCTTGTCAGGGGCGGCCCATCTTCATGCCTCAGCATCGGACCCTCCCCTGGGGGGCGAACAGCCAGGTACCTTCTAACATCTTTTACGGGGCAGGGGCCAGCTTCCCCCGTAGCAGGGAGACGAATAAGGGCTCCCCTACCCTTCTGATCTGTTTTTGAATTCCTAATCGTGAGTCTCAGCTCCACCGGGGATAACTGTACGTCCTGGAGCAATAGGCCCCTAGAACGACCGTCCCTGTGAACTTCCAGTACCAGCTCGCCCACCCGTAAGGCCCCAAAGAAGGCAATGGAAAAGGCTGCCGAAAAAAGGCGAGCCTCATACGCGGACCAACAGACACTCCGCAATTTCTTACGCATCCTGCTAAGCAAGTCGAATGAAATCGGGCGCCGGGATGCGGGTCGGGAAGGACAAAGCCTACTCCAACCTTCAAGGGCCCTACGCACTACAAACTTTGCACAAGGATCTTTGTCAAAATATGACTTAGAGAAAAACGCTATTGCAGCTGCCTGAATCCTAATTGTCTTGGCTGCACGCCCCAACTGAAAAAGGTGCGCCAAATATCTCAGCACCTGAGAAGTGGAGGGTGGAGCCTTCCCTACCACACTGACTGACTGATGGGTAAAGGCCAAAAAGTCAGCCCATGCTTTAGTGTATGACCGGAGGGTAGAAGGGGAAATAGATGCAGCTACTCCCTGGAAAACTAATTGCTGCCAAGGTTCCAGAGATGATCCGGGAAATATTCCGGACGTTCCCGAGCCTCTGGAACCAGAAGTCTGAACCGCTCCATCTGAAAACGGGACAGAGCATCAGCAATTTCGTTAGACACCCCCGGAATGAAACGTGCAGAAAACACTATATTATAACGTAAACAATGTAGAACAAAGGCCCGCAAAAGGGCCGACACCCTGGGGGAGCGTGAAGACAGCTTGGCCAGCACGTTCACCACCGCCTGGTTATCGGTCCAGAAGCAAACACGGCGGTCCCTGAACTCATCGAGCCACAAGTGCACTGCCACTGCAATGGGAAAAAACTCGAGAAAAGTTAGGTCCCGCGTTATGGCTTCCCCCTGCCAGGCGGGTGGCCAAGGCATGGCGCACCATCTGCCTTTCCAATACAGACCAAAGCCCAGGGAACCTGCAGCATCTGATTGCACTTGAAAATCATTATGCAAGTTCAACGTGCCTTGCCACAGGGATACCCCGTTGAATTCCTCCAAGAATTCAAGCCAAATGCAGAGATCCGCCTTCACCTCACTAGAGAGGCGAACCCGATGATGCGGGGCCCTCAACCCCGCCGTAAGTCGAGCCAGGCGTGAACAAAAGGGGCGCCCAGGCGCCACTACCCTGCAGGCAAAATTCAGGTGCCCTAATAGCGACTGGAGTTGCCTCAGGGACACCTTCTTCAAAGGGAGCAATTCCTCTATAACTTTCTTCAAAGCAACCAGCTTATCCTTTGGCAAGCTGGAAGTTTGAGAAACCGTATCTAAGAGGATACCCAAATAAGTAAGGTGGGTCGAAGGACCCTCCGTCTTTTCCGCTGCAAGCGGAACGCCCAATTCTTGCGTAAGGTCGGCGAAGGCATGCAGCAGCACCGCGCAATTGCCGGTATCATGCGCCGAGGCCAATAAAAAATCATCCAAATAATGAGTGACTCCGCCCAATCCAGTTTTTTGTTTGAGGGCCCACTCCAAAAATGTGCTAAAAGATTCAAAAGCGGCACACGCTATTGAACAGCCCATAGGCATAGCTTTGTCAAAGTAATACTTGCCCTCAAACTGGAAACCTAGTAACCAAAAATCCTCGGGATGAATAGGCAATAAACGAAATGCCGATTCAATATCGCATTTCGCCAATAAGGCGGCAGGGCCGAACTTCCGAATCATCTTGATCGCATGATCAAGAGAGGCGTACTTCACAGAGCAAAGCTCCTGAGGAATAACATCATTGACTGAGGTGCCCCTAGGGTGTGATAAATTATGAATTAAGCGAAACTCGCCTGGGGCTTTCTTTGGCACGATACCCAATGGGGATACGTGCAACTTACGAAATGGGGGAGCACTGAAAGGACCAGCCATACGATGCATAGCCACCTCCTTTGCGATCTTCTTCCGAGCGATTTCAGGCAGCTCGCAAACTGATTTTTGATTAGAAGGATTCCGTGCCACGGGAGGCATGGCTACCGGAATCCGAAAACCAGCGGAAAAGCCATCAACCAGATAACGTGCAGCAACCCTATTGGGGTAAGACTGCAACCAAACTCGAAGGGTCGACAAACGAACAGGGGTATGAGCCAAGGAAGACAATACACTATTTTCCTGTTCCTGAGGTGGAAGGAAGGGGGGCTGACTTGGGGGGTTGCTGAGAACCCCCCCTTCCCCCCCGAAAGGGCCGCCTACCGCCAAAACAAGAGGAGGCAGGATGCGATCCATTGCATTTCTCACACGAGTGAGCGAATCTGCACGCTGGACGCTGGCAGGAGCCCTTATTGAAATCCCAGCATAACAGACGTCGGCCCGGCCTAAAAGGAGAAATCCTCGACTTCTGCTGCTCCGGCGCCTTTTTATCAATGAGTGGGGCTACATAGGTGGTCCACACATCGAGATCCTTGCGATCCCAGCGGGCCGAAGGGATCCTGGCAGCGCGGCGCCTGAAATTCTCATCATATTTGATCGCAGCTTTTTCACCAGCTTTGGTGAATGCAGAGCGAACAATAGATAGATAAACTATCAAATGAAGAGATCTCCGAGGGTAAGCTGCCGTCACAACGCCAGCGAAGACCTGGAAACAATCGAGCCAATGTTCGAATGTCCTGTCCGCGGCAGAGGCCCCAGAGCGTTTCTTAGCAGAAGAACTCCCCTTCTCCTGTTCCTCCGAAGGTGGGAGCAATTTGAACATGTCTATGTAGCGGCCATTCAAAATCCTGGACCGCAACTTTGCCGACAAATGTGAGCCTGGTATGATGTCCCTGGCAGAATTGGTTGAGACTTTAACATCGGGAACCAACACACCATCCCTATACTCCAGGGTTGCCCCATATTTTGCCCGATGTGTGTTGGCCCTTCGTTCCCACGCCCACCGTGGAAGCCCCGAAACCGACTCGCCGAAACCCCAGTAAAGTTCCATGGAGTTACCCTCATCATCGGAACTAGAAGATGATGTACCTGAATAAGAGGAAGAAGTGTCGTCCTTCCTCCGTTTGGCACGCTTCCGGGACGCTCTCCTGTGGCGACGCTTCCCTCCTGAGGACTTCCTGGCCGGGACAGGAAGACTGTCTTCAATAGACGACTCGGAATCAGGATTCAGCAGGGATGGAGCTGACACAGACTGCGGAGAGACAACAAGTGAGAGGCCAGAACCAGATGCCACCTCGGCGGGAGGCTGAGCAGACGTACGCCGACGAGCAGGAGCTACGGAGGGGCCCTTTTTTCCTGAGGCCCTTCTGGCGGGACCGCCAGACCCGCGTGACCGGCCCCGGACAGCAGGTAAGACAGGGGACTGGGCTAACTGGGGGTCCACAATCAAACCGCCTGACGATGACCCTTCTCTCCCATCTTCACTAGATGACGGTGAAACCGGAGACGACGCCGTTGCTGAGGGAGTCGGCCTCCCAGATACAGACGACTGGGTGGAGCAATGTTGAAGGAAGCCGTCCATTTCGGCCGCAAAACGAGATAAGGCTGCTGGGTCACCGGCCATACTTGCTACCAAGGATTGCACCCGCCCTGCAGGTTGACCCACAGGGGGTGAGCGGAACGCCTGGGATGGACCCTTAATAGGCCGTTTTGAAGCGGCGGCCGGACCCGAGCGAGCGGCAGCTTTCTTTGGAGCCATACCTGCTAGGCGGAAATAAGATTATTATCAATAAACTCGACAAGCAACACGACCAATAATCTAACAAGCTTCAAAATGAGTGAACCACTGCTGGCCCATACACCAACAACGCCGAAGTACCACTGCTACCTGTCAGCCTTTTAAATCAAAACATTAGAAGTAAAATAAATCAGGATTATAAGAATTAAAGCAAAATTAACTCAATCAAAATAAATTAATAAATCAACCAACTTGTCTATGTCAGGATAATGAAGAGAACAAAGTGTCGCCCTAATTCAAACCAACGGTGGAATATGGAACCACGCGTCCACTTATCTATCTATCTATCTATCTATCTATCTATCTATCTATCTAATTGTCTATGTATACTGACTAAATGTCAGCTTATTTTAATAAATGAGCCAAAGGTAAGTGACCCTGCACTTCCCCCAGCCAGCCAGCAGAGGGCCTCTCAATTACTGGAGGCTCAGTGGCTGAGTCAGCTAAGCAGGGGGGGGGGGAGGAGGCGCAATACCGCGCCTTGCCACTGGGGGAGCTAAGGTAAATCAGGAGCAGTGCAGCCAACGGCCACAAGAGGGCCAACAATCAGCCAGCAACGCAGGCAGGCACTCTCCCAGCCCCCTGCGTGCAAGGAAAATTAGAAAAAATTAGAAAAATTAAGAAAAAATTAAGGCCTCACAACTGCGCAGCCAGCCACCCCGACGGGACAGGCACAGGCCGCGCCCGAGGACCCAGGGAGGGCCGCGCAGGCCCCGCGCGCAGAGCGAAAGGCGCGCGGCGACCAGGCCCCCCGACCGGAAAAAGGCTCACTAGAGCCTAGCCGGAGAATTGCGCCCGGCGCACCCCAGGAACCGCGGCAGCGGCCGCCCGCGGTGCCGGGGTCCAACGGCCGAGCCCGCCGCCCCCGGGAGGCCCAGGTAAGCGGCCTCGCGGCCCCGCGGATCCCCGCCCGCGCGGACGACGGGCCTCGGCGACCGGCGCCGCCGCGCCGCGCCCCAGGGCCGGCCCCCGGCCGGGACTCCGCGGGCAGGCGGGCGCGCCGGAGCGGAGTCGCCCGGCTCCCCGAGCGGGGAGTCTCCAACAGAGGGGGAGGGGTGCGAACGAGCAGGCCCGGCGACGCTCCGCGGCCGCGGAGCGGCGAAGTTTAAATAAGGGCGCTCACGCGGCGCAGGCAGGAGGCGCCGCGACCTCCCCCCCGCCGCAGGCCACCGCCGGGGCCCCGCCGGGTGGGGCCGGCCCCGAGGGGCGGCGAGGCAAAGCCACAGCCGATCTCCTGTCGCCCCCCAAAGCAAACAAACAGAAAAGTAAAATTAAGTAGGGTATTCAAAAGCACAGGAAGGTATAGGGAGGTAGGAAGAGAGAACAGGAGGGGTGAGGATGGACAAGCAGAAGGGGGCTAAGGGATCAGAAAGCGGATTCGAATTAGCAAGGCCTAAATACAACCGTCTCCAGACGCAGACTGCTCCTGAATCAGTGCAAAAAGGCCAAGAGGACGCCCAGCGTTGGACGCCCTGTATTTAAGGCCTCTGACCCCACCTCCAAATTGGCATCATTCAAAACTCCCCAGTAACCCAAGTTAACCACTTAAAGGCTTGGGTTCCTCACCAAATTTGCACAGTCACTGCAGGGTGGCATGTTCCCCCAACCGCAACACGTGCTCTCTTTTATGGAGAACACGCTTTAGTCAACAACAGGCATCCCCAAACTCAGCCCCCCAGATGTTTTGGGACTACAATTCCCTGACCACTGGTCCTGTTAGCTAGGGATGATGGGAGTTGTAGTTTGGGGCCGAGTTTGGGGATGTGCAGGACAATCTTGTGCATGCTTACTCAGAAGTAAGTGCCTTTAATGGAGCATTGCACTCCCCAGGAAGCAGCATATAGGATTGCTGCTTAACGCCATGTGATTTCTGAATACTGTTAAACCCATCTCCACACTATTTCAAAATATTTTCTGGGTTGGGTATGTGGAATTATTTATTTTCCAATCTATTTTCTCTGTACAAGTCCTTTTTTTAAATCTATGAGGCTCTTCCACACTAAGTTGCTTGAGGCTTTAAAAGCCAAAAATGGCTCTTTCACAACAAAGATTATATTCATCATACTATCTACAGTTGTCAGGAGTCTGAGCTGTGGAGCTGCCGACCATCATGTTGTTGAAGTATCCAAATGCTAAGAGGCAAATCAGTCACCTCTGCCTTTTTCAGGAGACTTCCAATGGCATTTAGTTAATCTATATGCAAATATTCATGTGCCATCCTTCTATCTTTCAACAAGGAAAGTAATTGAGTTTCAAGTTAATTTTATCACTTCCAGAGAACAGTTAGCAGAAACAGACATTATAAGTTCTATGATATACATGATACTATATATATATATATATATATATATATATATATATATGACATTCAGAAATTCTGATTGAAACGTGTTTCAATGGCAACTTGAGTTCCAGTACCTAAGAAAATGTTAGGACATAATATATCCATTAACAGGCTGTGCTGCCTATTTGGTTGATCAAAACTGGCTTCTTGTTAGGGCTGGTTTAAACGTTAAGAGATGTCGAGCTTATGGTCTCTAAAAATAATTGCTAGAGTTCAAAGAATTGCATGATCACTTCCATACAGACAAGGCCTCTGTGGATTTGTTGCTTGAGCAGCAGAGGCACACACAACATGAGAGATACCACTTTGGAAACTTAGAGGCGTTTGAAAACACTTTTGCACACTGTCAGTCTCCTAGGTTGGCAGGAACTGGGACAGAGCAACGGGAGCTCACCTCATCGTACGGATTTGAACCGGCGACTTTCCGATCGACAAGCCCAAGAGGCTCAGTGGTTTAGACCACAGCACCACCCACTGTGTGTGAACTTTGAAACTTTTGCAAGGTTAAATGAATTATTTAAATGAAAAAGCATTTAAGAAATGCTCCATATGATTTCCACAAGTTTTTCCAAATATTTTACTCATAATGCTGAAAAATGTAACATATTTTATGGAAACTAAGACTCCTCAAAGTTCTAAACTAATATGCATTTAAGTCAAGTTTTTCCTTACAATTAACTCATAAAGCCATTAGCAAAATGAAAACAATAAACAGAGAGTCAAAGATGTGCAACATTGATTTAGGTTTTATGCATATAAGTGTGTTAAATCATTTCCTTTAGCTTGTAATCCTGTACTTGCTTCCTTTGCAGTAAGGCCCATGGCATTAAATGGAGCTAACTTCAGAGGATACATATATAATCTTCTTTGCCTCTAAGAGTTTCAATAGACACCTGCACATAACGATACAGAGATATGATTTTTTTTTCTGACAGCTATCTATCTTGATTAGACATTCTCATCATATGTGTGTGTGTTGAGATTATAACACCAGCATCTAGGTCTAACAGTCTAAAACATTCAATTGTTTTTTAAAAATATATTTTTTATTAAGTTTTCCATATTTTATTACATTTCAATATCCAAAAATAATAATTCGTGACTTAAGACATTGCTTAAATAAAGCATTGACCTCCTTCATTCCCTCTAGCAGGCTTCCATATCTCATTACCAATTTCTCCACATTCCTAAATTCACTTTTTTACCTTAAACAAATCTTTTAACAATCACCTACCTATAAGTAAATCAGCTCCTTAATTTCCCATTACCAAACATTTCAGCTTAAACCTTCAAACGTATTCAACTGTTTGCAATTTTCTTTCATACAGAGTATAAATTTGCCCCAGTCCTTTTGGAACAAATCATCACAGTGATTCCGAATCTTCCCTGTCAGCTTCGCCAGCTCCACGTATTTGACCATCTTTACTTGCCAATCTTCCAATGTGGGGAGTTCTTGTTGCTTCCATTTCTGGGCTAGGAGTATTCTTGCGGCCGTTGTTGCATACATGAACAAATTTACATCTTTCATTTGGATTTCCTCAATTAATCCCAACAGGAAAGCCTCTGGTTCTTTGCTGAAATTATACTTTTCTTATCTTTTTCAATTCAATTTTTTTAAAATTATCTTTTACAATTCATTATATATGGTATCCCAAAAGGCTTTAATCTTGGAACATGTCCACCACATATGCAAGAAATTCCCCTCCTTCTCCCTACATTTCCAACAAGTTTTATCCTGGTTTTTATACATTTTGGCAAGCTTGTTTGGTGTGATGTACCTAAAACATTCAATTATAGACAGCTATTTCTCAATTAGGGACGCGGGTGGCGCTGTGAGTTAAACCACAGAGCCTAGGACTTGCCGGTCAGAAGGTCAGCGGTTCGAATCCCCGTGACAGGGTGAGCGCCCGTTGCTCGGTCCCTGCTCCTGCCAACCTAGCAGTTTGAAAGCATGTCAAAGTGCAAGTAGAGTGCTCTGGTTCGCCAAAGCGGCTTAGTCATGCTGGCCACATGACCCGGAAGCTGTGCGCCTGCTCCCTCGGCCAATAAAGCGAGATGAGTGCCGCAACCCCAGAGTCGGTCACAACTGGACCTAATGGTCAGGGGTCCCTTTACCTTACCTTTATTTCTCAATTCCTTAAACAAATTTCCCTGATGCAGCATAAACTTCAGACAAAAATTGAAGGAATTGCTGTTTACGCAGAATTAAGACTACAAAACTCGTGATGCTTTGAGAATGATTGAAACTGCATGCATGTGCAAAAATAACTTGAAGTAATGTGAAGTAGAGAGACTGAAAGGGCAGTGGAGAATAGATGTCCTTCCACAAAAAGATAAAGTTTGATTTGCACAACAGATTTTCCATTGAAAGCCCTTCTAGGGGATGGTGAGAAAAGAAATAAACAACAGAATTCCCTCTGGGCAGTGCCATATATTTCCTATGCAGGCAATATATTTGCAGTTTGCAAAACAGTCCTCCCTTTTGAAAGGGGAGGCTGCCTATGAAGAAAAGAAACAGGAAAAAAACCATCCTAATGTTTCTTCACAATCACACTCTCCCACTTTGCAAAGCTCAAGATATTTTCAACATGTCTGTTAAATCACTTTGAGTTTTTACTGTGAAATCACTTTGAGATATTTCATGGGAAGTGATTCATAAATGGAGTTAAATAAATAAATAAGCATCTTGTTCTTGATGATATTCATTCTGGCACTTGTTGCAGGCAATTGGGTAAGCATCTCTGGAAAACTTCTGATCACAGTTTACTATTTTG